AAATTTTATTTCTTAAAAATTATATTAAACGTTATAACTAAATATTATTGAATGTATGAAAAATATTTTATATTTTATAATAGAATTATATTAAAAAAAATAAAAATATAAAAACTATCCAATAAAAACATGTTTAGAGGAATGTTTTTTTGCTCTTAAAAAATAATATATTAAAAAATGGAGAAATTTTTTGGCGGGAGTTTATGCGCAAAGGCTCTCCAAAACCCTCAGTTCACCGAGAGCAATTACACTAACAAAGTCCTTCCATCACAGAACATCCGTTATGGCGCCATTGATTCAGAAACTTTTCATTGTTCTTCCTTTCTCTCGAGGTATATTTTCTCCCTCTCTTCCCATATGTTTCGCAATGTTGTCCCCAATTCTTGGAACTTTATATTGCAGTGAATTCAGATCAACGATCGTGCGCTGTTGATCATTTTTTTCGACTCATGTTGTTGATGACGAGCCGATTCTTGTAAGCATTACTCTTCTCATTTGCGGATTGATTCTTACTCACATTTCGCATTTCGTAGTTATGGATTTCGATGAATAATTCTCGTGAGGTTCGCGATTTGATACATTCCGCAGCGTACGATCCGAATCATGGATACTTCGTTCAGCGGTAACGGTCGGTTGGAGTTATGGAACAGAGCATCACGTTCAATCAGCTTGAAGGTATGCCATAGACATAGTTTTAAATCTGTATAGTTTGGAGGTATTCACAAGCATTAAGGCATGAATTATTCGGATTGATATGAGTGTATTGTCATCATGTTGCTATAATAGCTAGAAAACTGTGTCCAGGAGGCTCGTTAAGAGTGATTATATTTTGGATCAAATGATTTTTCCCGTTTACTTGATGGACCCGGTGTGTGTTTGATTAAACTACGGCCATATTTACAAGCATATGTATTATTCCTGTCAATTCAACATGCTGGTTTCTTAAAAAGCATATTGTACTTCTGATATCATTGCTATGATGTTTTCTGAAGGCAGAGTAGGAATGGTAAGTGGCATAATACATGCGCATTCTGCAAACTATGGATGTTAATAAACAAAAGATTCCACAACTGAAAATTTCCCATAAAATTCTACTGTTAGATATCACGTATTGTACTGGAATCATGATTGAAGTTGTTAAATTTTCATGTGGCATCATACGTAATATTAGCATTAATCTGGACGAGAAGATCTTTGTTCCAACGGACCAATGGTTCTGATATTGGGTATTCTCTCCTCAATGTAATTTTTGAGAAATAAGTCAATCTAGCATGAAAAAAAATGCCCATAAATCTTCTTTGTTAATTTTTGCTCTACGTTGGTGAGATAATTTTCATTTCTCAATAACTATGAATCTAGCTCAATTGATAGTAAGCTCTGGCTACATCTTTCATGTTTGCTTTTGTTTGTTAGTTTTTCTCCGTCAGCTTTCTTTGTGTTTGACCTTGCAACTTTATTTCCTTGTAGCCTTGGTATGCCCATGGGATTGCTGAAGCAATCATGCGTACTGCCAATCTTTCTATTCCACTGAAAGTAAGATTTCTATCTTTCTTCATCTTGAAATGTAAATTCATTAGCCACTCAGGATATTTTTGTTGCATTCAATATTTTTACCCACTCAGGTTTCCTGCCTGCTATATCTGAACGCTTTTGTTGTGCTGCGCCATTTTTCTTTATCCTAGCTAAGTGGAGAGTTTCCTTAACTTTGGCCATATCAGGATATCTTGTCTTCCCATTTTCTGTTTATCTTGAGCGTAAATAAATAATACTTACGTGCTAGCTGGTTGAAATGTCCTGTTTAAAACAAAAATCCTCAAAGCTTTCTGTATCCTTGAAGATTTAATTTTTGACAATCCTTTCCAACAACCATAATGTGACCATAATTAGAAGTTGAGATTAACTGATTTTTACTTTGGGGGCTCCAATAAGGAAGTTTCCTTATTTGATAGGAACCGTCCCCAGTGTTTTTGAGAATTGTGGTTCTTTTTCTTTTCTTTTCTCTTTAGCAGATATGTGAGTTTTGTATGAGATGATAGTTAGAAGCCATTATTGCTAATTGTTTACGAATTTTGGAATTGAATTTAAGAAAGCAATATTTTTCCTCTAGGTATATGGATATTCCCCTGCTTGGTGCCGGTAAGAAGAAAAAAGTTTGTTAATGACAAGGATATATAGAACCGTTAGGTGGCAAGGACGCAAGTAATCTTCTTACCGAAATCCTTAGGTTTACAAAAAAGCAGATCCTATCAAGAGAACGCTATGTGGAAGCCACAAGGAGAACAAAATCAGGAAGTTCAAAACTATTCCAATGTTTGATTTCTCTAAGTTCTTCCATCCAAATATTCCACCGATGACATTGTGAACATTCAAATAAATTAATTAGTCATAAACTTCTTTTGAAATAGGAGACTTCAAGAATTTAAACAAGTTATATGCTCTGAATCTCTAGTTTTGTTATGCCAACTTGATTGTGTGTGTGTGTGTGTGTATCTTTTTATTTGTCCACAGTTATATGACAGGGTATAATGGATTTCATAATGTTGAATGCGCCTACTAGAGTTTACCAAAATATGACTTGTACATGTGTTGCTATATCTCGAAAACATTATGACTTGTACATGTGTGCTTTTGCGACACTTATACTCAACCATGAAATGAGTAATACCTTGTCAACCTTAATTTTTTTTTTTTTAATTTTTATGTATTCTATTGTTGACATTATTTGCCAAACTTGATTGTTTTCTCTTTATTCTTCTTTGTAACTCAGCAGCAGACAGTTTAATATAGATAGTGGTTTGTTACATTTGTTGCTTCTTTATACATAGCCTCTGCATTTATGATTCTACAATGTAGTTGTAACAATAACCATTGTCCAACAGGAGACGTGGAAGAGCAGCCGTGTTGGGTAATTATGCTTGAGGTATGTTAAAAGTTAACTTGTGAAACATTTGAAATTGCAGATCTTTTGATTGGAGAAGTGTAATCAATTACTCTACGCATCAATAGTCTTGCCTTTTCCCTCAATTTCTTTCTCAGAGAAACATCAAATGATGTATGATTGCATATGCATGAATTTGTTTCCTCAATTGTTGAACATTGTTTCATTACCCAATTAAACATGAGTCGGTCGTGTAACAGTTTTTCATTGAAGACTTTGCTGAGACGTGATTTTTTCATCTTCAAGTGGTGTTGGCTTAACTTTCTTTAGATTTTGAGTCGTATATATGCTTCCTAGACCATTAAATTGTTCATTTTTCACAGGTTCTGGACAATCTTCCATTATCTTATGTACTCACAAAATCAAGTTTCCTCTTGGATGGAAGTATGGGTGGAAAAGCAAGTTGATAGGTATGCATGCCTGATCGCATTTAGTTTTTGCTTCTAGATGACTTCCAAAATACTAAATTTTATCTGAGCATCAAATAGGGGCAGTGAGGAAGCTTCCGATAATTCTGCCCTGCAATTTTTGAACTCTTTTCTTTGTGTTAATGCATTAAAAAATCAGTCTTTCGAATTTCTTTCGACAGGAAGACAGTAACAGAATTAGATGGTTAGGACCTAAATGGGGATATGATCATCGAGTGGGCTGCAAACGCTGAAGAGCGGTTTGGAAGTTTTCTTTTATGGCTCTATGGACAACGATTATTGTGGTAAAAGTCGTAATTTTTCTCAACAACATGTGAAGCGTTTTAAAATCGGATAAGAATATAAAAACTTATCCCTAGCAGATGCGTTTTTCAAATCGTAAAGTTGAGTAGACAAGGGCTTCGCTGTCGTAATTCCTGAGAAATTATTTTCACAGGGCACCCAGAAGAGATCATTAAACATCAAAACATTAGTTTTCGGCTGTTGCCAGTCAAGGGAACTTGGAATAAGAATGAGTAGGATTCTTTTTATTTACTTAAACTGATAATGGGTAAAAAGGTAGCTGTGGTTAACCCACATTCTTACCCCTCAGTTCCAAATTCACCGTCCCTTCCATGAATTTCATGCAATGACTTGTATTTCAAATTACTCAGAACCCCTTGTTTCTAAATCAATCTCACATTACTTATGGCTCCGACGGTTAAATTATATGCATGTTGTAAGCATTTTTTAATCTGAAATATGTTCGATAACCATTTCAATTTGTAATCTCTTAATTTAGTTTAGATTCAAGAAATATGTAAAAAGTGCTAAAGTAGCTTTAATTATCTTCATTAAAAATAAATACCCATAATTAATCATTAAACTTGTAAATACTACATTAACATTTATTTATATACTTATATATATATATATATATTAATGTTCCATCGAAAAATGAAAACCATCTTATGAAATTTAAAAAAAAAAAAAAAACTTCTAAAAATTATGCAAAGATCAAATATTTCTTCAAGCAGATGAAGACCAGGTAAATAATTTGAGAAATATGTAGTTTTCAAAAAACATAAAAAAAAAATACAAAATTCAGAATATGAGATGAACCTAAGTAGATTAAGGAATAAAATGCGATTCCCCAAATTTAAACTAATTTCAAAATCCGAAGATAAAAAGGATAAGAAAAATGGTGACCAAAATCATCATCATCATGAATAGACAACAAAATGGCACGCTATGAAGAAAATGCAAATGCAACTCAACTCCATTCTCCCATAACACAAATCTTGCAACAAACTAGTATTTAGTCGGGGCTATTACTTGCAACTGGGGACCGAGCTTCTCGTCTGCAACCTTCTCGGCTTTGACCCTTAACTTATTCAACTGCTTCTTCTTCTCGTACACGGCTTGAGCCCTCTCCTTCCTCTTCCTTTCAAGCTCCTGTGATAGAACGAAAAACCAGAAATCAGTATCATCTATTCACTTCATCAACATGAAAATCAATGGAGTGTAAAAACATATGGCAAAATGATGATTAGATAAACTTGGAAGAAAAAAATTATGAATAGAAACCAACATTCAATAATCATTCATAATGCGTATACCTTGATAGTGTCATAGTGGTTCCATCCCACTTCAGATGAGAGTCTACCCAACAAGCAGTATTTGTGTCCAGCTTGAAGCCTCAAAACCCTAAAATATTCACAAATAAGGAGAAAACATAAATATAGAAAAGTAAAACATAAACGTTACTTACAGTATTGTTTAATTCGTAGCTCAAATTTTAATTCTAGCCCCATAATTTGTATCTAATTCTTTGTTTCTGATAAGAAAAGATCGATCCAATTCTCAAACTCACTTGAGAGCGTCGGGGATGACCATCCTTTTCATCTTGTCATATGGAGGTGGAACGCCTTCATATGCCTTCAAACGAGCAAGAGCAGCAGCTCCACGCTTTGTCTTGTGTGGGATCATACTAAAATTACACAAAAATTGTAATCAGATAAGTTGTAGACCAACAAATAGTATTCATATAGAAATGACAAACAGATAAATTAGAAAACCAAACCCCTAAACTGAAATCATGGCAGGAAAATCGTAGTTTCCTAATGCCAAATCAATTCTCAATTTCAATATGAAACTCATAAGCCTAACAGTTAGCCAACCAAACTTAGTAAACCATACATTTGGATCCGCAATCATTAATTAGAGTACATCGGAAACACAGTGTAAATCAAACAGATTGATACAAAATCATAGAAAACATGTCCTGCGCAACTGTTTAGTTCCTCATAATTCATTCAACGTTATAATAAAGCCTTTTCAATGAATACTAAGACAAGGAACACAAATTTTCTTCAAAATTTATTCAGGTAAGAACAAAACAAGTAACTCGAATATCACGATAAAATTTGTAAACGTAAGATGCAGCACTCCTGATCGATCCAGAACCTAAACAAGCCGTAGTAAAAACCGTTGCAAGGAAAACAAAAACAAACAAACACACATTTTCATCTCTATCTAACTACAAACAAGCATAGAAAACACAATGCGAGAATAGACATTACCCACGGATTGTTCGCCAAAGGATCTTGGCAGGAGCACGGAAATGAATGGGACCATGAGATGGCTTGGTATTCATACGCTTCCTCAAGAATCTCATGTACTTCATCTTCTGACGAACCAATCCTCCAGAAATGCAAATTTCTTCACATCGAACAACAACCACCTTCTGCCCATTGAGAAGCTCCTTGGCGATGATAGAAGACAGCCTCCCGAGCATGTGGTGCCTGGCGTCAACGACGACGCGCTTGGCGCAGATTCCAGAACCCGACACCATTTTTGATCCTGCGGCTACTCTCTCAGTCTCTGGGAGCAGCTAGGGTTTTGGAGAGAACGGGATTGTGCGAGAGATATCAATTTGTATATGAGGCTTTCAAGTTGGGCCTTCGTTGGGGTTTCTCAAGGCCCATTAATTCGTCTTCCACCTAAAATATTTGGGCTTATCTCTAAAACTTTAGTCGACGAGTTATCTTAAAATTCCTAAAATTAATTAGACATATATTATAAAAAAATAAAAAATAAAATATTTTTATTATTTAATTAGTTGATTAATTATATATATATATATTCCAATTAGTTTTTATTTTAATTTCCATTCAAATTATTAAAAAAATTAATCAATTTTGAATTTTTTGTGAAATTTGTGAAATATATATATAAATGAATTAATATGATTTAAAATATTAGAACGAATACTGGGAAATTACTCGTTTATTATTTTAATTTTTAGATATACGTTTAATGGGTCGTTTAATATGTTATAGGTTTCGAGCTTCCAACTTTTGTGTATTATATGTTCTCGATTGTTTTTTTTAAGGAGTATATTATATATGTAATTAAAAATTAAATGTTATACGAGACACCGTTATTAATTTTAAAAAATGTTAAATATATATTAAAAGTTTATAGTAAATATAAAATATTAATTTAAAATTATGGTTAATAAAAACTAAAATTAAGATGGCTATTAATCAAAGTTTCAAATCATACCCATTGTATTTCAAGGTTGGTTTTGGATTTTAAAACTTGAAATTAAAAAAAATAAAAAAAAAAGATTAATTTGATTTTAATAAAGTTGGTTTGGTAGGTACATATGGTTGGCTATCTAGGTCAATTGTATAGACTTTTAATTCCAATTTTAAATTCTCTTCTTTTAATAAAAAAAAAAATATATTAAAAATGCTAACCAACCTTTTATTTGTNGATCGCATTTAGTTTTTGCTTCTAGATGACTTCCAAAATACTAAATTTTATCTGAGCATCAAATAGGGGCAGTGAGGAAGCTTCCGATAATTCTGCCCTGCAATTTTTGAACTCTTTTCTTTGTGTTCATGCATTAAAAAATCAGTCTTTCGAATTTCTTTCGACAGGAAGACAGTAACAGAATTAGATGGTTAGGACCTAAATGGGGATATGATCATCGAGTGGGCTGCAAACGCTGAAGAGCGGTTTGGAAGTTTTCTTTTGTGGCTCTATGGACAACGATTATTGTGGTAAAAGTCGTAATTTTTCTCAACAACATGTGAAGCGTTTTAAAATCGGATAAGAATATAAAAACTTATCTCTAGCAGATGCGTTTTTAAATTCGTAAAGTTGAGTAGACAAGGGCTTCGCTGTCACATCATCATGATTGTAATTCCTGAGAAATTATTTTCACAGGGCACCCAGAAGAGATCATTAAACATCAAAACATTAGTTTTCGGCTGCTGCCAGTCAAGGGAACTTGGAATAAGAATGAGTAGGATTCTTTTTATTTACTTAAACTGATAATGGGTAATAAGGTAGCTGTGGTTAACCCACATTCTTACCCTCAGTTCCAAATTCACCGTCCCTTACATGAATTTCATGCAATGACTTGTATTTCAAATTACTCAGAACCCCTTGTTTCTAAATCAATCTCAAAATTACTCAGAACCCCTTGTTTCTAAATCAATCTCACATTACTTATGGCTCCGACGGTTAAATTATATGCATGTTGTAAGCATTTTTTAATCTGAACTATGTTTGATAACCATTTCAATTTGTAATTCTCTTAATTTAGTTTAGATTCAAGAAATATGTAAAAAGTGCTAAAGTAGCTTTAATTATCTTCATTAAAAATATTTCTTCAAGCAGATGAAGACCAGGTAAATAATTTGAGAAATATGTTGTTTTCAAAAACATTAAAAAAAATACAAAATTCAGAATATGAGATGAACCCAAGTAGATTAAGGAATAAAATGCGATTCCCTAAATTTAAACTAATTTCAAAATCCGAAGATAAAAAGGATAAGAAAAATGGTGACCAAAATCATCATCATCATGAATAGACAACAAAATGGCACGCTATGAAGAAAATGCAAATGCAACTCAACTCCATTCTCCCATAACACAAATCTTGCAACAAACTAGTATTTAGTCGGGGCTATTACTTGCAACTGGGGACCGAGCTTCTCGTCTGCAACCTTCTCGGCTTTGACCCTTAACTTATTCAACTGCTTCTTCTTCTCGTACACGGCTTGAGCCCTCTCCTTCCTCTTCCTTTCAAGCTCCTGTGATAGAACGAAAAACCAGAAATCAGTATCATCTATTCACTTCAACATGAAAATCAATGGAGTGTAAAAACATGTGGCAAAATGATGATTAGATAAACTTGGAAGAAAAAAATTATGAATAGAAACCAACATTCAATAATCATTCATAATGCGTATACCTTGATAGTGTCATAGTGGTTCCATCCCACTTCAGATGAGAGT